CATAAAATATTTTTGGATTTAAAATGTTCACTAGTTTTTCTAATCCCAAATTTTCATTAAGATGATGCTAAATTGCAACTATACAATTTTTAATTGAAGATGCACAGTAATCTTCACCATCTTTACGTTTCATAGTATACACAAATTTGTATAATTGGTCTTCTAAGACCTTCTTTGAATCTACACCTTCGATTTTACTCTCATATCCCACATCACTACAAAAATCTTCCAAGACTTTTAACCACACTTGGGTTGCCCTATGCATAGCTTGCACTTTTGAACTTTTGCAGATTGCCTTTAATTCTTCAGGCGAAGGTTCAGCATATTTAAAAGTCTATGAAAATTAAGTTACTTGATTCAGCAATATATATTTTTCTAAATAACAATTTAACACAAGTATAAAAAAAAAAAATCAAACCTTGGTGCTTACACAGGAAGTTTTTTTGGTTGATTTTGGCATTCTTTTTTATTTCAATTACTACTGGCAAACTTCCCTTTAGATTTCTTTAGGTATTTGCACGGCAAAATGCAGTGAAAGTATAAACTTCTGGCAAAAGATGATGAAACCTTTGAAGAAAGGCAAAGCCACTGGAACCAATGTCAATCTTAATCAAAAAACTAACAAAAGTAAAAAAAAAGTTAATTTTTAAATAATTTTAACTTTTAAAGATAAAACTCTCAATGTACACTTTATTCAAATTATAAAAGAATAACTTAATTCAAATTACAAAAGAAACAGCAAATATCTATATTAGAGAATTTCTTCTTAAGCAATTTGAAATTTTTTTTTGATCAATCATCTAATCTATTTATACTAATGATGACATATTAAGTGATGATTTTACTACGCCATGATCATAATTGCATGATAACATCGATATTGGTTATGCATTGATAAATAATGCATAACCAATATTTTATACATAGTGCTTTTGCCTAATAATTCAGTGTTTTCGCAAAACTATAGTAATTTTATATTGCTTCAACTATAATAATATTGATTGCCCAGTATACACTTTATAAATTTAATAATATTGTTATAGTGCCTTTACCCAATAATTCAGTACTTTCGCAAAACTATAGTAATTATATATTGCTTCTGCTATAATAATGTTGATTGCCTAGTATTTATTTTATAAATTTAGTAATATTGTTATATAGTGTCTTTGCCCAAGAATCCAGTGCTTTTGTCTAATAATCTAGTGCCTTTGCCAAACTATGGTATTTATACATTGCTTTTACTATGATAATGTTGATTGTCTAGTATATGCTTTACAAATTTAATAATATTGTTATATAGTACCTTTTTCCAATAATCTAGTATCTTTATCAAATAATTTAGTGCCTTTATCCAATAATTTAGTGCTTTTGCCCAAACATCTTGTGCACTTGCCAAACTATAGTATATAATTATATATTGCTTATGATATAATAAAATCAATTGTCCAATATAATATCTAATAAATTAATAATTTATATAGTACCTTTGTCTCAAAATTTAGAACTTTTATTTGATAGTAATTGTAGTCTAGAATCTTTGCTGCCTGATGACTGTAACCTTGGTTGTTGTACAGTACTTTCATCTAATAGTTGTGTGTTTTATAACAATCCTGATTCAGATTCATTATTTGAAACTTGTAGCTATTCAAAGTCTCAACCTAGTAACAACTATAGTAAGTTATTTAAAAACTTGGTTGTTAATTTTATTTTGTTTTTATAAAGTATAATAAATGCTAAATATCAAATTTAATTCTAGCTCTTGCTAACATAACTAGTAATTTAAACTCTGAGAGACATAAAATATTATATGAAGACACATGATGAAATATTGAGCAGTATACAGAAAAAATATCACAGAAATATTAAAAAAAAAGAAAGCTTGGTAATTTTCAAGTTGGTAACTTTGTAAGAGTAAGTGTTTCAAAGATTGATCAATTCAATATTGATCAACCCACTTTACCTTGCAAGATTGTTAAGAAAATTAAAGATGATCAATATTAATTGGACTATAAATTTGATATCATTAATATCTGTTACTTCTCAAGTGGGCTTGAAGCACTTAGAACTGATATTTATCCTAAACTTGATAAAATTCTATCAAGTCAATTATCTATTTGAGAAGCAGGAAGACTTTAGAGTGTAGGAATGATATCAAATTCTATTTGTAGCTATAAGTGTTCTTGTGATAGTAAAAGATGTAAATGTAAAAAAGTAAATGCAAAGTGTACAAGCCGCTGTCATACTGGTCATTCCTGTTTAAATAAAGACTAATACGTGCATGCTAATTATAATAAAGTTAATTTTACTGCTGTATATAGTTTGTTTATTAATAAATTATTTTAAATTTGAGTAAATGTTTAATTGATTGAAAATACAACAAATATTTAATCATGTAATTATTAGTTATTGTGTCAGATTGCAACTTACGTGTGTCAGATATAATCTGATACACCTCAGATAACCAATTGACAGTTGATATGCATTATCTGAAAATCGGCATCTGAGATGTGTCAGATTACATCTGACACAAGAATCGATCTAAGGCACAACATATACATGAATATAATTTAGAATTACAAAATTGTGTAATATGCCAATTAACTAATTTTTTATAAATGAAAAATTAAACACTTTTTATAATTAAGGTAAGGTTTGATTTGGGATTAGTGTAAGATATAGTTTATACTAAAATTTCTCAAAGAATTTTTTTGTTAGTGATTTAATAAGCAAAATCTTGAGATATTAGTTGGTTTTTATATTATCCATGTACATACACCCCTTGCACAAATAGAAATTGCCTTATACTAATTGCAGAATTTTTAGAAAATAAAGATAATTACATAAGGCTGAGATCTGGAAAAAAAATAAAAATTACAAAACAAAAGATCTTCAGAAAACCAATTTTTGTGTTGTAAATCTTATAATATCATAAGAAAATACAAATTTTAAAGATCTATACTGCAAATTTTATTAACACACCTACTTTTGTGTCTTAAATAAAAAAGATCCCAACCTAATTCTAAATTAATAGAGTACTCCAAGCTATAATAAAACATATAAACTGCTCCAGTTTAAAACTGGTGTGGTTTATATGTTTTATGAGTACTCTATTTAACAACTCTAGATTTATGTAAAAAAATTTGGTTTGAAAAAATTGTCATTTTGGCCCTTTTACCAGAAAAATATTATAAATTATAACTATATTGATAAATACTATACTTGTACAATATAATTTTAGATCTATAAATTCTAATCTAGTTTTACTAATTTAAAAGTATTTATTTAAATTTTTTAAATTAAAATAAATATTATAATATATTGTTTCTAGAAACATATATAGTTAAAATATTTTTAATACAATCTGAATTGGTTTTAAAGAGAGATTTGATTATAAACAATTTGTTAATTAGGTTTAATAACTTATATATTTTAATTTAGAACATATTAATATAAAATTAATAAAAATAATACTAATACTATAAAATTATTTTTATTTTGTATAATCAAGTATTGTCAAGTAAAAACTTAGTACAAATCTAGTATCTTGTATAAATTATCGAAATTTTATTGCTCTTTTGAATTAGCTTGATTATAAATATTATGAATTTTTTATGTTTTATTCTTTACAATTCGAGATTTATAAAATTTATAATATTATAGTTTAACTAACTCATAATAAAAAAATCCTTTAATATAAAATAGTAATTTGATTTGAATTTTTTTTAATTTAGCATTTATGCGAATCATATAACAATACGTATATAGCATTTTATGCAGCAGTATTATGTAGCAATTACAATTAACTATGCGTCATTATGCAGTTTATACGGTTTTGTGATTCACATAAAATCACTGTCTCTGGGCATGGGAAAGGATTTATATGGGGATGAGGATTGCATATTGCATAATGCACTATGTAATACAAAACCAAAAAAAACTTGCATTTGCACATCTTTAAATATTGGTAGTTATTTATGAACCCGGACCAATTTATACTATTTTGTCTGGATTCAAAAATAATTATGCATATAAATAATTTACGGGAGGGCTAAACTCGCATCTCTTCTTGATAAAGACCTAACCTAAATTTAATTAGTGTTGGTTACCATATTAAAAATGATAATATTTTCAATAATTCAGTTCAGGATTATAACGAATTATATTATTTAATATAATATGTTAATTGAAAAAGGTTGACAATAAAAATGGTGCCTATATAGATGTGACAAGAATATTTATAAATTTGCACAGTTGTTACTGTAACGTTAGCATGATAGTTCAATTTAGTTTTGTCATTCTTGATATAGAATGTGAACAGGCAGACACCATCAAAGTATATGCCCATGCTTGTATAAGTATAAAATCATTGGAAACACACTTTTTCGTAACACCTTTTTTAAATCATCCAAATTGAATTACGTACGAATCATTTATTGACTGACTTCCTCATAAATCCAGCATGCGTATTATCATGCAATATGAAGTTACATTACGACTATAAATAAAACAGGCCAAAATGAGAATCGAAAATAACAACAAATATCGCTATAATAAGGATAAATGATGTTTATTCAATATTAAGAGTAATGCTGCATGTAGTTTAAGGATTACTATTTCGGCAAGCCACGAAAAAACCCGTAATTTAGGCTGTTGATAACGGGATTTCTTTTGTGTAACATTTAAATATGTCGTAATACTATATTTAGAAATGATAATCAAAAAAAACTTTAACTATAAAATGGAGGTATTTTTACGCTCAATACTGTAATACGATTAATATCAACACCATGACTTTATTATGCTTTCAAGGTATAATCATAACCAAGAGGTAACAACTGGTCTTCCATGCTCCTAATTCCAAAGCACTCTGTAACAAGTGCTTTTTATAAATTACTCACCGACCTGTTATTCCATATGTGTGCGACTTACCTCTAAGACTTTTGGTACTCCTACTTGAATATGTACCTGGACTATCAAGTTATTTTTTCTGGAACCATGAAATGGATGCCTTGAGAAATAGATCCTTCAAAGAGGACATGACTACTGTACCATTACCTTTACCAAAAGAAGTGTTCGGTATTGAAGAACCAATGGTATTATGACACTGACTCACAATATTTTTTAAAACGTAACAAACGTAATAAACGTAATATTATTTTATTCATAAAAGAAGATCGATGGATTAGAAATTTTCGACCAGAAAAATAAAGAATATAATCCGATGCCAGAAAATCAAAAATATTTATGCGCACGTGACTTTACTGAAGCATACTTAGCCAAAAGGATTACTCCCGTACAAGTAATTAACCGATTATATCGTTTAATTTAATAATATAATAATATAATTTTTAATAAATTTAACATGATTTCAATGAATTGTAAAAAAAGGTATGTGAGAAATTAATCGAGAATATAAATCAATCATGTTCTGAAGCGTGTGACCCACCTCTTTATGGTAAGCTTAAAGTAATCAATTATAACTATATATTTAAATTCCCTATTTAAAACATATAACCACTAATTATTATGTGATGATACGGTTATCTAGGTATGTGTCAATACCACCAAAATGATATTATGGCCCAAGCTGAAGCTTCGACTACTCGATATAGTCAGAACCGATCTTTGGGACCCCTCGATGGTGTTCCTGTGGCAATTAAAGATGAGATTGATGTTTTAGGTTATGAGACACATGTAGGAACTTCATTTTTTAATCGAGGAAATCCTGCCTCAAGGGATGCGTTTTTGATAAAAAAATTAAAAGAGCAAGGTGCTATCATCATCGGAAAAACGAATATGGGATTTGGGTAGGTTTATATTGAATTAATACTGTATTTTTATATATAATTAACATTAACATTATAATATTTGTTTCTTCATAAATAGTGTCACAACCAAAAATCCGAATACGCATATAACTCGTAATCCCTACAATTCTGACCATTATTGTGGTGGGTCAAGTGGAGGTAGCGCATGTGTTGTTTCCAGGTTATTAAAAAATTATTATCTAGTATTTTTTAATAATTATTATTTGATGAATTAACGTGAATATATTCACTCAACAGTGGTATATGTCCAATCGCCATAGGATGTGATGCTGGAGGTTCTATAAGGTAATTATTAAATTATTCGTTTGTATACGTATTAAAATTGATAAAAATCTAGATATTGTCTATGAAATCTTTTTTAGAATACCATCTTCTTTTTGTGGGATCTATGGATTAAAGCCTACGTATGGAAGGGTTTCTTCTACAGGAGATTGTAAGTATTTATATGATTTTTGTAAGGATTTATAAGATTTCATTAATTTTCAAATTCATGAAATTAATAATCATTTTTGCCTTCTACAGTTCAGTTTTGCAATTCCGTAGGTAAGTAGTAGGTATGTAATTATTATAATGTATCTAATTGTAAAAAAAAAAACTAACCTAATTGTGGGTTTTATCTAGGAGTTGCAGGTCCTATGGCTGCTTGCGTTGATGATTTAGCATTAGCTTATTATGTTATGGCTGGAAAAGATCCTGAGGTTTTTGATTTATAGCTTAAAATTTTATATACTATATTTAATAATTACATTTACAATTTTAATTTTTTCATCTTTAGGACCCAAAAACTTTGTTTCAACCGTCACCCACACTCCACGGTATCTACCATACTAATACATTGTCAGATCTTAAAATTGGTATATTCTCATCATGGAATAAACAAGTGGTCGACCCTGCTATTACTTTTGCACTTCAAACATTTATTAATGAATTCAAACTTCGCGGCGCTGAGTTTATTGAAATTGATATTCCAGAATTAGAAGATGCTCGAATAGCTCATTTAATCACTATTACTTCCGAATTCTGCACCACAATGAATGGATATAAAAAGTATTCACATTTATTAAGTTATCCTAATAGGATTAACATCGCGACATACAGTAATATGAATGCTTCAGATTACATTAAAGCACAGCATATTCGTACACGTATGATGCGTAATATCTCTGTTATATTCTCTGGAGTTAATCTTATTTTGACACCTGCATGTGTCATAACTGCTCCTCCAATCTGCCCACGATCCTTAGAATATGGTGAAATAGATCTTTCATGCACTTATAATGGAATGATGTATACACAATTGGCCAATTTTATTGGCATTCCTGCAATTACAGTACCTGCTGGTTATAATGACAAGGACCTTCCTATTGGGCTGCAATTTATGGCAAAATGGTATGATGAAGCAATATTATTAAGAGTTGCCAAAGCTTCTGAGGAAATATTAGGAAGTAGAAGACGAAAACCTTCTGAAAAATATTGGTTTGGTGATTTATTGTGAAATTTTCTCTAGTTAGGAAATTGATGAAATATTTATCATGTAATTATCTGTTGCTTATAATAAATGCTTGTAAGGTTTTAAAAACGAATAATTTTCCAATATTACACTGTTTACAATTATTAAATAAACACACATATTATAATTTATTATAACTTTTTAACGTAATCCCGAGTCCTCTTAATATTTGTTCAGATTCGCTCGATAATACTATGTTATGGTGCACTTATGATATATCAGAAAAAGAACTGAAAATACAAGTTATGCAGTTTACAATATCTTGAATTAAAGAGATGCTTGGTTAAATTCATATATTAATATTTTGCTTAATCATTGCGATGCAATGCTGGAAAAAATGCTAAGCGCTAATCGATATGCTGCTGCATTGGTACCACGTGAACGCATTGTTATTAATTACTAATTTCTAAAATTCCTTTTATTTGAACGAGCTAGCATCAGTTATAAGTTATTATATACTGCGATATTTAATACATATCATAAGTAAAATAGAGCGTTAATGTAAATATAATTTCTTTGATAAGCATAAATTGGCAAATCGATTGAAAAACTTAGATCCAAGCCTATTTGAATAGAAAAATTTATAGTCAATAAATTTTAGCACTATTATTATGATGACGCCATTCATTAGATCAAAGGTGTATAATAAAAAATATTAAACTGTTGTATTCCTGTGATTTACATTTGTCAATTGTGTACAGTACTAAATTGTTTAAGTCACACCCGATATCAGAGAAGGACTATGCCGTAATTTCCATATATGAGCAAAAATTTTGATTGGATATTGATATTAATTACTATAATAGAAATGAATATAAAGATTTAACCAATCGGTATGAAAATTTGCTACAGTATAACAATTAATAGGGTAAATGTTGCACCGTAATCTAATAAGGTTTTAAATTCTTCATCCGTCTCGTTAAGACAACGCCAAAGAAACTAATGGCATCAAAAATATTTATGGGCAATATGCCCGAATTAATGGAAATTATTCTTAATGATTTAGATAATGAAATTCATACTTTATACTCGTGCACACTTGTGAGTCGACATTGGTGTAAAATGTCAATTCCTATTCTTTGGCAAAATCCGTTTTCACTCAATCAGAGCCCATCATTTATTTCTCAATACTTTTCATCTCTTGATGATGAAATATTCATTTTAAAAGAATATGGGATAAATGCGGAATTTTCCAAAACACTATTTAATTATGCAAAATTTCTAAAAGTTTTCGATTTATTCAGTTTAGAAAAGAAAGTTAGAAAATGGATCGATTTACAACTTGTTGAGTCAAAACCATATTACGCAATATATCGTATAATTAATTTATTATTTAAATTATTTGTTGATAGTGGAGCCACTTTACATAAATTAGAACTAGATTTTTCCAATTATGAAATTAATTCAGACATTTTCTACTCATTAGGACGAAATGAGTTTTTTTTTTCACGACTTCAAAATTTATCATTAGGTATAATATCAGACCTCAGCACCGAAAATACTATTGCATTACTGAAAATCTTGGCAAAAAATACTACAAAAATTAGTGCTTTGAAACTTGACAAATTTTATTCTGATTATGAACCAAAAATATTATACACACTTATAAATATTATTAAATCACAAGAGCAACTTAAGAAATTCAACTTAATCGGTGAAGAAAGGTATCCTGCAGAATTCCATGGTATCATTTCGGCTTTAGAGTATCATAAACATTCATTACAAGAAATTATAATAGAAAATTGTGCTTATAATGCAGAGTTCAAAGTGCTAACTAATTGTGGAAATTTAGAAGTTCTTCGTATAAGATATTGCGATTTGAAAATATTGGAGACAAGCCCTCATAAAATTAAAACTTTAGAAGTTATTAATTATTTGATTGATGCATCAAGAATAGTACAAATTTTAGAGAAGTCAAACTCATTACTACAACGACTAAAGCTTGAATCAGTTGATGAGGATATTTGGGACGAACCTTTGTTATTAAAAACACTTAAATCCTTCTGTCCAAACATTATATCTCTACATCTCGTATGTTAAGTTTTCTTCACAACTCCTAGAGCTTATTGGTAATTTACAAAAACTTCAATTCCTCACATTATGGTGTACTCTTGAAATAGATGTCGATATATTAATTGTGCAGTTTGCAAAAATATTACCATTAACATTGCAATATCTTAGCCTAATGAATATTTGGTTAAATTCATATATGGATATCTTACTCAATAATTGCGATGTACCTTTAAAAAAATTATTAATTAATCGCCTTGGTAACGAGAAAAATGTTAGAGCGCTAACCGATTTCTGTATGCGAATTAGAACTTTGAATTACGTAGGTTTAAGTAGATATGTCGATTTAGATGATTATATTAAAAAGGAAGTGGAAGAATATGTTACATTGGTACCATATGAAGATATTGTTGTTAATTGCTAATTTCTATAATTTTTTTTATAATTAATTTTTAGTATCATTTATAAATTTTTAAACGTTATAATATTTTTATACCTATGATAAAATAATATAATTTCTTTGATGAAAATTTGAAAAATTTTTATAAATCATCGTTTCCGATAAGCATAAATTGGCTAACGTATAGTTCAAGCCTAATGAAGTGTTATATCACTTATTTGGAAAAATGTTATATAATCAATAAACCTCGCTCTATTATTATGAATCATCCATTAGAACTAAGGTATATAGCTGTGGGAATTGAGAACATATATATTATTAATACCATTATTCTATAAGATGATTTATAAAAATAGTTGAATATTTTGTATTTCTTAAGAGTGCTACAAAAATGGGCTTTATGTACGTGATAGTTATATGGTATACAGTATTATTTAATGCTTTGCTATGATCAGTTTATAAAATAAATCAATTATTTTATGGTATTTTTAAATGATAAAATAATTGAACTATTTCATAAATCTGAGATAGTAAATCATAAAATAAAACCGTTATTGCATGCTCCGTATGCAATAACTATATAATATTAAATTAATTCTATATACCCATTTTTAAAAAATATATTTAATATTTAAAATATTAGTGTATAAATAAAGTAAATATTATTATTCTGTTATCTGCATATATAATTTTAATAATACCTAATAATTCTAGCTCCAATATTATTTCTCAGTTTTTATTAATTAATTTAAAACTCAATTTTGGCTCTTTTAAACACATCTTTTTAAAAACAATAGTATGTTTTTTAAGTGTATATTTTTACTTATCAATTTCTAATTTTTTTGCAATTTATTTAATTTCGAGTTTGTTTTAAATTTTATTTAAAATATTTTAAGATTAGAAAAAAGTATAATTTATTCTAAAACTTTAATAAATTCCTTTTTTAGGTATAGCTTTAATTATTAATATATATAATTATAATTTGTATAACAAAAATATAAAAACAAATTTTTGTATATTGAAAAATAATATGTACTAGATAAAATTAGGGTTAGAGATTAGAGCAACGCGTAGTATAATATAATATATAATCAATAAATAATGGTTTGTTTACTAAATGTATCGGTGGTGTTTAACATATAATTGCTATATTTCATAAAACTAATTAAATAATTAATTCTTAGTGTTCTAAGTAAAAATGGTTAAAACTATAAAATTCTTATACAAACTCAAAATTTGATTTCTAATGCTAACCTTTATCTTAACCTATAATAGCAATCTAACTTAAATTTTACTAGTAAATTTACATAAGATGTTGATGAACACCTTTAGTATTATTCATAATTTCATATATTTATGCTATTTTTTTAAGCAGATTTAAATAGCTTAACTTTTATAAAGTAAGTGTAATTGATATTATTGTTTTACATATATTCTTAAATTCAACAACTGTTTAAATAAGATTAGCTAATTTATATAACTTAATAAATTAGATTAATTTTTAATTTAATCAATTATAAAAAACTATTAAATAGAGTATATTAAAGTTGATATGTAAATTTTTGTTAGTACTGGTGATTAGATTGTTGTTGTGCTAGTAGTTAGATCTTGATATTATATTGTTATCAATGCTAATTATTATATTTTGTTAATTGTAATATTATTGATACTGTTAAGCTAATTAGGTTGTCTTTTGGTTCGCTGATTAAATTGTTATTTGGTTTTTAACTACGTATAACAGTATTCATGTTTAAATATTTGAGTATGTGTTGCGAATTAGGTTACTAGCAGGCTTTTTTTACAAACCACAATGTGTAATAATTATTTTTGCAAAATGTCTTTGCCTAAAAAACATTTTTTGATTTTTTTTTTTAAATTTTATAAATTTATTTAATTTTTTTAATTAAACTTAATTTATATTTTAATAGCATATAATCCAAATGAAATTATTGTATACACTTGTGAAATATTAGAATCATAACGGCGTGAGATCTAGACTCTCCCTTTTTTTCACATACTTTTTTTTTGATTTTTATTATATTTTCTTTTTTTTTTTTTGCATGCTGATATATTTATTTATTTTTAATCAGTAAAAATGCATATCGATTAAATACACGTAATTTCTTAATTTACAAATGAAATATGACAATTAATAATTTAAAAAATGTCCTGGAACAGAGCCACGGGTAAGATGTTACAGCTGTTTTCATAATTTCTGAAACACCTGAATTTGCCGAGTGGTTTTTCGGCCGATCCGATTAAATTAGTGATTCGGCATAATAGGTGCAATACAAAGTTGATAAATATAAGTGCCTAATTTAAAATATGATGACTGATATAAATATTAAGATACGAATGTTTTTGTTAAAAGTACCTTCAATGGCAAAATAATTGAAAATATTTAGAAGGCTTATTGTATCAAAAATTGGTAGCACTTAGGTGTTAGCATATCTCCTATATGTATACATTATTGGGCAAAATTTGTGAATACGGCAATTTGGCTCAACCGGACAAATGATTGTCTGACAGACACGTGCCGCTTCGCGGCCCAATAATGGTGTTGTCCGACAATTTC